ACCTATTGCTTAGTTGAATCCAGGTGGCAACTTTTTTTTTGGCCAGGCAGTGTAATATCCAATATTACTTAACTTATCAATCTGTAAAATAAAAGTAAGTATTATTAACAGCATCTTTATTATCTATTACCAGTCTCTGATTTTTCTGGGGAAATCCTCGCTCACATTTAAAATTTTTTATATTGAGACCCATTTGTACACAGAAAAGATAGTAATGCTTCTAGATATTTCTTGTTTTTCTAAGCAATAGCCATGTCAGCATACCTATAACTCTCCAACAGGGAACAGCCAGTGAAGCCACCCTGATATCCTTGCTTGCTGCCCGCTGCAAGGCAATCCGACGGGTCCTGGCAACAGATCCTAAAACATCTGAAGCTGACATCCTCTCTAAACTTGTGGCATACACTTCTGAGCAGGTAAGTCAAAGAGCTAAGAAAAGTGATGATGTTTGGCAGACGCATTGTTTTTAATCAGTTTACCTCAATTCTATAGGATTCGATTGATTGATTGATCAAATTTATTGATCTCACAGTGGAGAAATGTACTCATTACATCAGCTCAAATAGTCAAAAGAGAAGACGCAGGTGCCAAAGGAAGAATAAAGGTGCATAGGATATAAACGGTCTGTTGTTGTGAAGGGAAAGTGCCAAAAAGCAGAGGTGTCATGTAACAAAGTACAAATACTTTGTTACTGTACTTAAGTACACTTTTTAGGTATTTATACTTTACTCCATTACTTATTTTTCTTCCTAGTTCTGACTTCTACCCATTACATTTTCACACAAGTATCTGTATTTTCTATTCCTTACATTTGTAAAACAAACGTAACTCGTTACTATTGGCTTCGGTTTAATGTTTATAAATATTTCTTTCACGTCGCCATCCAATGCAGATCATTGGCGCCATCCACATCTAGTGAAAACTAGTGTAATTGGATGAGAAATATAGCGCAAACACTCATTGGTTAGCTAAAGGAAATCATCAGAAGCAAGCAGGTGTTCTTCAAACTGCAAACGTGAATTGTCTATGCCATGCTACAATGTCAGATTCAGAAAAAGATCTAAAAATGTCTGAAAGGTCGGACACAGGCGAGAGCGTATTGGGAGATGGAGACGGAGACCAATAAGACCTTCCTCATCCTTGGCCCTATCTCAAAGAATTTTTCCAAATAGTCGTAAATTGAGCTTTCAGTTCATATAGTGGCAACTGGCTGTTTTTATTAAAGGTTACTTTATACTTTTATACTTTAAGTAGTTTTTGGAGCACATACTTTTTCACTTTTACGTGAGTAAAAAGGTCAAGTTGATACTTCAACTTTAACCAGAGTGTTTTTAAGCTGCAGTATCTATACTTCTACTTAAGTAACAAATGTGTGTACTTTTTACACCACTTCCAAAAAGCAAAGCTCTCGATTTACCGGTCGATCTATGTTCCTACTCTCATGACCGAAAGAACAAGATCCCGCATACAAGGGGCTGAAATTAGTTTTTTCGTAGTGTGTCCAGGCTCTCCCTTAGAGATAGGGTGAGGAGCTCAGTCATCCTGGGAAGACTCAGAGTACAGCCGTTGCTCCTCCACATCAAGACAAGCCAGTTGAGGTGTCTGAGGCATCTGGTTACAGTAGGTTGCTCCCCTGATGTCTCCCTGTTGAGGTGTTTTGGGCACGTCCCACCAGGAAGAGGCCCGGGGAAGGCCCAGGACACGCTGGAGGGACTATGTTTCTCAGCTGGCTTAGGAGCGCCTTGGGGTTCTCCTGAAGGAGCAGGCCGAAGTGGCTGGGGAGAGGGACGTCTGGGCCTCCCTACTGAAGCTGTTACCCCTGGATGGATGGATGGATGGATGGATGGATGGATGGATGGATGGATGGATGGATGGATGGATGGATGGATGGAT